TCTGTTCCTGGTGAATTCTGTCACCCTCCGCATCTCTGGCCTGTACCCCAGTTCTGTATGAATAAATAAATAAATCTTTAAAAAAAAAAAACTGAGTGAGAGGGAAGAAGATTGGTATATAAACATTCTTTCTGTGATTTCATATTGCAGTTTCTAATAAAAATAAATCACATGCCTACAAAAAACTATATTGTAAGTCCATAATGAATCAGGTACAAAGTTAAGTCTTCTCACATACTGCTTACATACAAGTTTCCTAGAGGAATTGAACTTCATACATCCTTAGTGTTACAAGATCCTTGTCAAGTAAAGAGGATCAAGAATAAACCATAAGCACAGTCCTTAGGAAATAAAGGTTTGCATAGGTAATATCCTTAAAAAGTACAAAGGATCATTTATGGCAACATATTTACATAAATGATTTTATGTGAATGAATAACTTCATCTATAACTTTCCCTAAGGTAAAAATTAACTAGAAATGTCTTAACTATAATTAGTAGATTAGTTCAATCTATGACTCCATATCTTTTATTCAGCTTCACTGACTATTGGACAGACTTCTGGGAAACCCCGATGTTTTTCAAATGGCAATCTATTGCTGATCTCTCCTGTTAGAAAATACACAATTACTATGATATGATTTGAAATGTGATTGTTTAATCATACCGTTCTGCTAGTTTGATAAGAGAGGCATCACCCAGGTGAACACAGTTATTTAAGTTTAACTCTCTTATCCTTATACTCACAGGACCATCAAGAAATTGTCTTAGTCCCATATCACCAATTCTGTAGGAAAGAGAAAAAGTGCACATGTACTTTTTTATAAATATATAAAATACTATTAAAATAGTAGCTATATGCACAAAACATTCCAAAATAACAAGGTAAATTTCAAATACCAATGTTTTGTCAGCATTTGCTAATATAGCTTTTAATGTAATAGAAAAAGTATAAATAGATAGTAATGGGAGATGCATTAATACAAATGCTATTCCTGTCCATTTGTTCATGTAATTAGGTGACATACTTATTACAATTATTTTTTTAAGTTATGACAATTATAATAAGACAGATGGTTTTCAGGTCTCTTACTCTTGGGGTAAAATGTGGTCAAGTTAAGCAGTCTGTGATGCAATCTCTTGCAAAACTTAGAAGAGTAAGGACCCAGACTAAAAACCAAGCTATTGCTAAAATTTTAGAGGAATAACTACTAAACACAGGGCAATTTAACTGGACTAGAAACCCAGTAAGTGACCTATGGATCCTCTCCTTCAGATTCATAGATAGTGATCCTGTTTCAGTTGAAGGGGAGCATGGGCTCCTGTCGTGCCTGTCATCCCACTTTCCATCTGTCATAGGAGCTGAGGCTATGCAGCATCAAGAAAAGCAAGGCCCCCTGGTGTGTGGAAGCAGATAAGCAAGACGGGAGGCCAAACTCAACCAATTAATTTACCTGTGGACAAATATCAGGCCTTAAGTATTGAAGGATATTTTCGCTAACAAAAAAATATATATACAAGCAGGGGTTCTAGCCCTAGTTATTCAGATTCATTTGTTTGGGGGTTGGACTTGGGCCTATGTAGTTTTATTCATCTCTTTGGGTGATTATGATGGCCTAGAACTTTACTTTTAAGTTATATATGTATATTTTACTAAACTTTTCATTATTGATCCCTAAATTAGTTGCCTTGTGGTGAGAGAATAGTCTGTTGGAATCAAAAGTTTGAAAGTTATGAGATCTTGCTTTTAAGACTTCATACATGGTGGGCCTCCCTGGTGGCATAGAGGTTACATCTCAGTGCTATCACTGCTAAGGCTTAAGTTCGATCCCTGTCCAGGGATCTGAACCACATATGGTGCAGCAGACTACTCCTGTCTCACTTGCTGCTCCCCTCAGCAGTGTATTTCAGTCAATCCACCAGTTGTGCTCCCCACCCTGTCTCTGGGGAATCCTCTCACCTCCCTCCCTTCTACACCTTTGGACTACACCCCAGATCTTCTACACACAAACACACACAAAAATAATAATTTAAAAAACCCTTTGTGATACATGATCCAATTTGTCTTATTGAGAAAAAAATTATATTCTTTGACTCAAGCTTACTGATTTAGGCACATTTCGTATAGATGAATTTTTAAAAATCCAACCTGAAAGACTCATATTAAGCCTTCTGACTTTTCCCTATATGTTATGTACTCTTTTATGTTTGTCTTTTTTTTCTTAAGATTTATTTATGCATACCGAACTGGGGTACAGGCCAGAGGTTCAGGGGAAGTGAGAGGATTCACCAGAGACAGAACGGGTAGGAGAACAGGCAGATCAACGAAGCACACTGCGGAAGGGAGCAGCAGGCTGGTCAGGAGAGGTCTGTGGCACCATGTGGATCTCCTCTGGGGCTGGGGCAGGGATAGAATTTGCACTGAAGGGGCTGCTGCTTGCTTGCAGTGCTGCGTCCTAACTTAATGCACCACCAGGGAGGGCCCTGTCTTCTTTTTTTTAACTCTGCAGTCACTTTAGTTTTCTTCTGGCTCTGTAATCCTCTCCTCTGTGAGTTCTAATATGCTACTTAGAAACTCAGTAGTTTCCTTTTTTTTATTAAGATGTAATTTGACGTGTAACTTTCTTAGTTTCAGGTATACAATATAAGTTTCAATATTTGTATGTATTGCAAAGTGATAACCATAAGTCTAGTTAGCATCCGTCACCACACATAGTTATAATTTTTTCTTGTTTCTTTGCAGCTTACAAATATACAGTGCAGTATTATTAACTCTAGTCACCATGGCACATTGTCTCTCCAAGACTTATATACTTTGTGACTGGAAGTGTGCCCCTTTTGACACCTTCATCCATGTTGAGCACCCAACACACACACACACACACACACACCACTACCCCCTGCTTCTGGCAACCACTACTTTGTTTTTTCTATCATTTGAGTTTCTTTCTTTCAGTAACCATATGACATTTTTTTAAATTTCTAAATGTTTTTTCAAATAAATCTGAATTTATGTGTTGCCTGCCCATGTTTGATTCCTTTTTCATTTCTTCAACTACGTCAGACATCTAGTTACTTGATATTCTATGCATAATAATCTTGATGTCTGAATTACTTGAAGGTCAAATTTATTTTGCTATTTTTGGTGACTCTTATCATAACTCATGTCTTTGTACATTTGACAGCCTTTACTTATGAGTACCTATGTATCTGATCTTAGTCTATGAGAATCCTAGAAGTCTAAATATCAACATGAGATGATTACCTTCAGAGAAGCTCTGAGCCTGCTTCTCCGAGGAACCTGGATGCTCCCCACTGTGGCCCCGCTGAAGAGGTCTAGCACTGTAGAAGTCTCAAGCTCAGCTTCCCTGCTATGAGTTGTGACAGAGCCTAATGTCTAAATGTCACTGTTGGCATGAACTGCTGTAACAGCTAACACAGGCTATATGTTTGCTTGTCATTTGTCCCAGTGACTCTGTTCATTAAGGATCGTACAGTGTATTGGATACTGAATATATCTTTTACTCTTTGTCAACCCAGCAATATATTGAAAGTATGTTTCAACAAGAGTCCATAAATTTTTAATCAACTGTACTGGTTGATGCTGAAAAAGTCTCCATTATTTTTAAATTGGTTAAGATACAAGCATTTGAGTAAAAAATAAGAATGAAATTCAATTTTATCTCACATATTAATACAGATAGGTTTGTTTTACACATACACATATACACAGTACATTTATACACACTCACTGTGTGTATGTGTGCTTATTTCAGAGGAACTCAATATTTGTCAGTAAATACACAAGAGGAGAAATCTAACTAGTACCCAAGAGGAAACCCTAAAATAAAATTGGTTTCTCATAAGTAAGTCAGAAAATGTTAACTATTATCAGAAGCATCTCTCAGTATGGTTGCCTATAAGTGTTTCTGTTAATTTATTTACTCTTAGAAGGGCCCATGATTCCATATATTCTGGGCTTTTCCTGAAAATCTCCCTGCACCTCCATATAACCAGTCTGGGTTAGGTGATGCAGAACTCTCTACTTCCCTCCTCATTAACAGTTGGTCTCACGATATTCCTGTTTACTAACCAATGAGTTCCTGAAGGACCTGGCACATTCTAGATAATACAAGTTTCCTTAATATGTGACTGAATAATTCATTACCTTACACAATTTGCCAAATTCAACACAGTCAGTTGCTTCAAAGGTGAAAGTGACTTGAGACTAACATCTGTTATCCTCTTGCAGTCTGACATATAAATGTGATTGATATTTGGATAATTCTTGTCTATATATTTGAAACATGCATCTGTAATTCTTTTATTTCCTGATTTAAAAATACAGAAGAAAGGACAAATAACTGTTCTGCTCTGAAAGTAAAAGTAAAGTTGATGCTGAACTACATTTTTCATATTACAGACCTTCAAATCGGATCTTTCTGAGGTTGCAAACAGAAAGAGCTTTGAAAGCACTATCAGAGATATGAGGTGCACCAGTAAAAATGACTGATGTAATACGAGGGCACTTTTCAACTAAAGCCTTTAGGGGAAAAAAAACACGATTAAATTAATCACAGCATATAGATCAAATTTTAGCAAATAGTGAAGTCATTTTTTGAATATTTTCAGAAATAGACACTAACTATTCAGTTTTTCAAACTTAAAAAAATGGGGCCTTCCCCTCCCAATATATTTTACTGTGCTTACATTTGAGTAATACATCATTTAAACTATGATTAAGTGATGTTACAGCATATGGAAAAACATGAGAAAATGGAATGTTGACAAAAATCATTACATTTTAAAATTTGACACATAGAACTGAACTTAAAACTTACGTACTACTCATAAAAATGGATAAAATCTTTCCACCTGTAACAAGATGTCTGAAACTTGAGGGACTACACCTAAGTGAAATCAGGCAGAAGGAAAAAGACAGATACTGTATGATTTCCCACATTTGTGGAACTTAGAGAAACAAAGCAAATCAGCGAACCCTTAGACTCTGGCAGTGGAATGGTGGTACCTATTCTGGGTTACGGGGCCCAATTGGTTGGTGATAGATGGCATCTGGACATTTGGTGATGGGTCTGGGGTAATACATACTGTTGCTGAGGTGAGAAACTGTACACTTGAAACCTATACAGTGTTATAAACTAATATGACCTCAGTGAAAAAACAAAGAAATATATTTAAAGTTTATGTTTTAGGCTATAATGTTAAAAACAAGCTATCCTAACTATGAAACAGAGTTTAAGGTAAGGATTCAAATATTCAAATCCATGTAAATTTTTAATGATTTTATTACTTTGACAGAGCATCTAAAATGAACGTCCATTCATGTTTTTCAGTAATTCTAACCAATAGAAAATGGGCCCATCTAATGAAACTGAGAAGAAATATACTTTCCAGCTTCTTACTTTTACACAGTTGTCTGTTAGAGTTGGCATGTCATTGATGGTCAGGTGCATAATTCCAGTGCAGCTGTTTGCAATGTTCCTGAAGCCTTGGACTGAAATCTGAATTGTATAAAATAGGTTAAACTGGTAAGAGAATTCTTTAGCATGACATATAATCATATTGTAATAACCAAATGTAGGTCATGATTGTGCTATGATACTTTAGAATTGAAGCATAAAATATGGCAGACAGAGGGGAAAATACCTCTTTGGTTTTTTTTTTTTTTTCAGTCTGATTAACTGGGCCTTTGCCTGCCTCTTAGTATTGAACCCCATGTAGTACACATATTGGCAACCTAGACCTTCTCAGTCTGACTCAGCTCCCTTAAAACAAGAGAACAGACTCTTCTTTCACATTCACAGTATAGGAAGGAGTTTCCAGGAGTTGTATCTCGACACTGGTGCAATGGTGGGTTAGGACAGGACTCCAGTTTCCCAGAGGTAAAGTATAATACGACAGTATAACTCAGAGACCTCAATCTGATATTCACTTGAGACCTTTTAAGATTCTCCTGACATCCCCTTAGGCATCTACAGAAACAGAAAAACTGACACACCATACTACTAATCACTAAAATTGGCAGTTAACCCAAATGCCACAAAAGGGAGATGGTGTTCTGTACTTGAAAAGGTAAACTGAACTGAACTGAGAAAAACAGCAGGGTCAGGGTATAGGAGGTAGATCCTCTCACTTACCGCTGTTTGGGAATGGAAGCTGTGACATCTTGTCTGGAAAGCAAATGAGCAGTAGACATCTAATGCTTAAAAATATTCACATTCTTTCATCTAGTAATGCCACCACTAGAAATCTATCATCATCGTTCTACTAGATACTGAGCATTTTCTGTGTGACTGACATCATTCTAAGGGTTTCCATGTATGATGTTTCATTATGTTCTCAGAAAATACTGTTTCATAATAGCATTTGCTTGATTTAGGTAGATTTTTTTTTATTGAAGGATTTATTACAATAAAGAATTTGAAACTGCTAAATTGCCCATTAAAATTAAGATTTCAACTTGTATGTAGTGACATATAAAAATGCTTACAATCTAGTAACATTGCATAATCAGAATTTGGCATTACACATTATACTCTTCATTTTATTTTTTAAAGTATGTATGTCTCTTACAAATTGAAAGCTAGAAAGACGTATTTCACAATATTGTTTGTCAAGGTCATCGAACTCATAAGTAGTGGTGTGAGAATAGGAATCGAAGCCTTCTGGTTTTAGCAAGAGTCTGAACTCTTTGTCATTAAATTACACTGCCCCTTAAGAATAGCTTGCATTACTGTACTTAAAAAGGGAGTAAAGACCTTTCACCACTTTATCCAAAGAGAGCTCAGCTGCCTTCATCCTTTACTTTTTGATCCAAATCCTACTGCACTGTATTAGCCAGAGTTCTCCAGAGAACAGGAACCAGCAGAGATGATGAATGAATAGATGGATGGACAGACAGACAGAACTAGCTCACACAATTTGGGCACTAAGAAATTCTAAGATTCTCAGTTGGTAAGCTGGAGACCCAAGAGAGCTGGTGGAATTATTGCAATCTGAGTGCAGATTTGAAGGTAGGAGGTTACTGGTGTCTTAGCTTGAGGTCAGAAAGTAAAGAGAAAGTGAATTTTTCCTTACTCGGCCTTTTTATCCTATCTGGTCTTCAGCAGATGGGATGAGGCCCACCCACACTGGGAAAGGCAATCTGCTTTAAGCAGTCTACTGGTTTAAATGTTAAACCAGTTAAATATTACTCTCATTCAGAAACACCCTCACAACCCAACCTAGAGTAATGTCCATTCAAATTTGATGCATAAACTATCACAGCTAACTTGAAGACTGGACATTCATGTTTCCTAAGACTCATGGTTGATACTCTTTGATCTTCCCTACTTGTCAGGACTGATCACTTGAGCTTACCTATCCACATTTTTATCTCGATCAGCATCTTTGGAACCATCTACCCTCTCTGGCCCCACCTGCCTGAACTAGACATAACTAAATATTAGCTTTAGATTTTATTGTTGCCTCTGATTGTCACTTTCATAAAACAGAAACCCTTAAAGTTCCAATGCCAAATATTTAACTAAGGAACTTGAGTTCTTTAAAGTCAAATTACAACATTAGTAGGGGAGGAATTCCATTTTTAATGCATATATATATATACATATATATATATATAATTTAACTTGTGTAGCTTAAATTCCTTTAATTTGTATAGCTTTGTAAGAAATCATGTTTTTCAGCATTATTAGAATTCTCAAAGTGTATACATGACCAATATCCTACCACATAAGGTCTCACTGATATGACTTCTCACACATAATGTACCACAAAATGCCTAGAGGTGAGAACAGTAGAAGAGGCAGCTATTTTAAGGAGCTTTGACTTCTGAAGTAACCTCAGGGAGATGAGGAAGCAAAGACTTAAGTCCCTTGGTTAATTTTTCAGAGATTACAAATTGATAGACCAAGAATGCAAATGTTCAAGTTTTTAATCCAGTACTCCTTGTGATTAACGATGTTCAGTAATAACATCCAGTTCAGTTGTTCCATCTTGGCTTCCAGAGTTCCCCTAACCTAGCAGCCAAAAAGACATCTCACCCCTCCAGTACTCAGTGGACCTCTCAGCTCTTTGTCTGACCTATACCTCCCATAAAATCCAAGTCTATTGATTCCTCAGGGTTTTTTTGTTTGTTTGTTTGTTTTTTCCATAGAGGAACTAGGGTATAGGCCAGAGGTGTGTGAGAAGTTTCACCAGAGACAGAGTGGAGAGCAAAACAAGCAGCTTTACTGAAATACACTGCTGAGGGGCGCAGCAGATGCGCAGCAGATGAGACAGGAGAGGTCTGCTACACCATATGAGGGTGAGCTCCCTGGCCAGGGATCAAAGTCAGGCCTTGGTGGTGATAGCACTGAGACTTAACCCCTAGGGCACCAGGGAGGCCCCAATTTCTCAAGTTCTAATGACATAATTTTTTATTTTTGCCCATTATGCTCTCCTGTAATTTATGCATGCTTTATTTTGCTGTTTATGATGATCTTTGCTGTTTAAACTCCTTACTGTGTTGGATGACTATTAGGAACTAAATGAATTAAATTTAGTAGTAATACAAAGTCTAAGAAAGAATACAGAGTTTGACTATAGACAGTATTGAAAATGGTTTCAAGCTGAAGGTAAAGGCCAACAATGGTAGCACTGGGTTTGTATAAAATAGCAAAACCATACTTGGGATAAGTGAGAAAAACTTAGCAGTTAAGGAGGGTGGGAGAGCTAGTGAAAGATCCATAAGACAGAATGAAATAACTTTGAACTGTACTATCATGGGTTCTTGAAAAAACTTTCCATAGGACACTCAAAGAAAAGTTATGGGGTGATGAATGAGCATTAAAAGTTTGGAATGCAGAGGGGAAGACGAGTCGACAGACCTCTGAGCTTGGCTCTGCTTTTCTTTCACAGCAAAAGGCAATTCAATGAAACTCTTGACTGAGTTTCCTCATCTATAAAATGGGCATAATAATGCCTATTATAGGAAATTCTTGAGAAAACAAAATGAGATAATATATGTATATAAGTGGTTAGCACAATGTTGGGTGCCACTTTTCCTGTTAATGATCTGCATGTATTATGGTCCCACAGAAAAAATAGGGTTAAAGAGCTAGAGGTAGAGGATCTTGTGAGAGCATTTCATTCTTCATATTGCAGACTAGTAAGTGGTATTCAGAGAAGTTGTGTGACTTAAAAGCAGGTTTCTTTTCTACTCCTCACCATAAGTTTCTCAGCCCCTGACATGGTGTCAAACACAGAGTGGGTGCTCCACGGGTGTTGACTGAATGAATAATTTAATCGAGTTACACAGTCACTAACAGTCAGGACGAGAGGCCACTCTCCCCATGGTAATACACAGCTCCAGGGCTGGCAGCTGTTGTTTTTGCCCCACTTCTAAGTTCCTCCCCTTTACCTCAGATCCTATATCATTACCCTCAAAACACTGAAGTTTCTTCAAAAATGTCTTCCCCTTGGGCCCTTCCTGGTGGCGCAGCGGGTTAAAGCACAGCATTGAGAAGCTAAAGCCACTTCTGCATGAGTTCGATTCCCGCCTGCCGCCTGCCCCGGAGGTGACCACAAGGCGTGGTAGACCTCTCCTGACCCACCCGCTGCTCCCTTCAGTAGTGTATTTCGTAGATCTGCCTTCTGCTTCCCACACTGTCTCTGTTGAAGCCTCTCGCTGCCCCTGAGCCTCTGGCCTGTACCCCAGTTCTGAATGCACAAATAAATAAATCTTTAAAAAAAAAAAGTCTTCCCCTAAATAAACAATTTTTTTTCCCTGTCTTGGAAACATTTCATGACAGGATTTCCAAGGATTTTCCAAGGGAAAAAAAAATGAGCACAATAAACAGCCACAGCTGAGTGATTTGTGACACTGCTGCCAACATCTTGGTGCTATCAACCAATAAGATTAGTATCCAGAGAGTGGGGGGATGGGTAACCCTCTGAGAAGAACTTTTTAGTTTTATCCTGGCGTGAAATGCTTACTTTTCTACACAGTTTATAATGTCCAAAAGATGCTTGGATAATATTTTATGACTCAAATATTCCTGACAGAATCTTTGAGGTCAACCAACTGTTGGTTGTCCTTTCTCTTCACTGAAATAATGAAGATATGTCTGAAATTAAAAATTCCTCTCTAAAGAAAAAAAAAAACACAAAATATATTGTACCATGTTCAAAAACCAAAAACCAAGCCTCGTCACAGCTGATACCTGTGTATTTTCTGTGTAGAATTCTTATATCACCTGGCACCTGGTCTCTGTTTAATTATAAAGTGATTTTGGCTTCAACTTTGATACCAGCTGGAACCTTGCCACTCCTTTTTCTGGGTAAGTTAACATTGGTTGGGAGGTTGGGGAAGTTGGTTACGACAGCCTTGAAGTCCCAGCAGACATCTACTGCTACTGATGGGAGTAGAGAAGCTTTGGTCATCAGAGGAAAATTCCCTCCAGTTTCCTCTGGGTGGGTCGCTAGTATGACAGGACAAAGCTGTCTGTGAAGGAAATGAGCT